AAACGTTAAATATTTCGAGCTCAACATCGCCTGACCGGATAGCAATGCCCTGACATTCTAGGGTGGTATCCCTGCGGTCGATGTCTGCTTCGATAAGACGATACTGCGCGGTGTGTTGTGTAATGAACGCTAAGCCACCACCATTATCCCGCGCGCGATCTCGACGGTACACGTTGTACCCGGCATAATTCAACAGTGTTGAATTGCTGTGCAACTTCGTCTCCTGGACCGCAGCTATCAATATGCCATGCCTTCCCATGAAGACGGTTATCTCCTTGATCTTGCTCTGAAGCCCGTTACAGTTAAATTGAAGGAGCTTCATGTGGTTCGGGAGACGTGTGGTGATGCGGGGTGTGAGGGATGTCTGTGGTCGTGACGCCGTTGGCTGTGTGCGCTGCTGAGGTGGTTTCTGCCCTGTCGTGGTGGCGGGAGGCGTCGCAGTTGAGATCTGCGACCGAGCAGCGCAACCCGGGCCCTCGAAGTTCCTCGTCCAATCTCGCGTGGTGCGCAGACCTGAGCATGCCCTAAAGTGGCATCAGCCAAGGCAGGTGTTGCACTTGAGTGATGTGCAGATTGTAGGAGGAACCAGGAGTTGTTGGCGGGGCGTGTGGGTAGTGGTGCGGTTGTGTGTGTTCTGTGGTCTGTCGTGGCTGTGGTATGGTCTGTGGTGTTGTTATGTTGTTGTGCTGTGGTGACTGTATGGGGCTGCTCAGGTGGACTGGGGTTAGCCGTGGAGGCTGCTCTGTTTGAGCAGCAGGGGGCCACGTACGACGTGGTCCACTGCCGATGTGTCCGTTATCCTGAGCAGACTCTGAGGTGACTCCACCCCTCGAAAGCATTGCACTTGACTGAGGTGGAGTTGTGGTGTAGTCGTCTCTGGCATACACAGCAGGTGTAGATTTCTGGCCCTGGGTTTGACTCGATGCCAGCCCTGAGTAGAAGAATACGTAGCGAATGTAGCCCTATGGGCGAGCAACTTCTGAGATACTTCGCCGACCTAAACGGGGTTAGATAGCCGAAACAAGGGTTATAATCCCTAAGTGCGGCCGAAGGCCGCCTACGCAAAAAGGATTTGGACGCCTGGTTACGCTAAAGTCCACTTTTACCGAAAATGTTTAGCTACTTGTACAACGATTTATGGGTGGGGGCGGATGGGAGAGGGCGTGGCCCCCAAACCCCCCCTAAACGAAAGAGGATGGACGCCGCTTTATGAGAAGTCACCCCTCCCCCCAACCCCCCACAGTTGTTGTTGTTGTAGCGGCTACAACAACCCCGCCCAGATCGGTTGGTATCTCAGTCGTTGTCGTCAAGTTCCACTGACGGCAACCCTAGGAAGCGTGCAGCTTCTGTGGGGTTTGTCCACAGGGACAAGGCCGTTAGGGTTGTCGGGTTTTCCGGGCATGCGAAGAGATGTTTCGAGTCGTGTGGGGTCTCTCCGCATGCCGGACACTCATTCGGCACATCCTCATTCAACCTACTCAAGTAGGAGTTCAACCTGCTGCAGTAGCCCCCACAGTCCACAGGGGAGCTGTTTGAAAAATAATTTAAAAAAGGGGTTATAAGGATATTTAAAAAGTAGTTTAGCTTTAGACACCATTCTGCGTAGGCGGCCTTCGGCCGCGCTTTAGGATTATTATTATTTTTTTTTTTTGGGGGATTTCAATGTGATGGCCGTGGTCAGAGACCACATTGCCAGATCGGTAAAATATTGTTTGTTGTGAATTATGGTTGCGCCATGTCAAACGTCAATCTGTCCTTTGCCAAGCCCAAAGTCATTTAAACAGTAAAAACAAAACAACACTTAAATAATCCGAACCGGAATCGAATGAACATAAGAAGTTCAATATTAGACTTTAATTTCCGCTTTTCTCAGAAAGGATGCTAGCTGCGACATAACAGACACATTTTTAGTTAACAAAACGTCTTTAATCGAATTGAAATTGTTAAAGAAAGAAAAACATGATCTTAAATTATTATATTTACTACACCGGAAAACCGAGTGTTCCAAACTTTCTTCTACACCACACGGTTCACATGAATTTGACGAGATTGCACCTATTCTATGTAAATATTTTATGTCATAACAATGTCCGGAAAAAAGTCGGTTTATAATCTTTGTGCTCCCCACAGGCAAGGATGTTTTATAGTACCACGACTTCGATGGAAGCTTCGGGAAAATTTCAGCAAAATAAGTACCCTTATTTTGTGATATGGATCTATAGTCATGCTCCCATTCATCTTTTAAACAGTTGTAAAGCGTAGAGCGTCACTTTTGCTGTAATTAACGTCAATGACCACATCACTGGCCAAAGCAGTCTTGGCAGCGCTATCCGCTATTTCATTTAAACGAAAGCCCGAATGACCAGGCACCCAAACAAAAACACACCTTTCAATTGACGATGTTCCGATAATTGTATTGATCTGAGCTACAGTGTGATTGCTTTTGCTCTGTTTTTTTTAAAGGATGCTGGACTTGCTGTCCGTGAAGACAACCATATTTTTGTTATTACTTTTCGCCGCTATCAGAACTGCACATTTAATGGCAACTAATTCTACAGACAGTGAAGAAAGCCTATCATTAATTTTGTAAATAAAAGATCTGTTTTTTGACAGTTCCTAAGCCGCAATACCGGAAATCTCCTCTTTGATTGACGCATCCGTTGCAAAAATTTCATACCTGTTAGCCTTGTACCACTCTAAACGTTCATTGTAGAGACGGTTAATAACATCATTCGAGACATTTGATTTCGTTGAAGAAATAGGTGACTGCACATCCATATCAACACAATATTTACAAGTGGGTACAATATCAACATTACTTTCGACCTTATTAAAGATATTAGCAAATTGTTCATAACTATAACTGTAGCTCGACCTTACTAGGGGCTCATTTGAGATCTCTTGATACAGTCTGCGGTCAAAGGATTTTATGTTCAGCAGTTCTTTTTCAGTTAGGAAAATCGCTCTTGATTTAGAGGGTAGCTCACCCGACAGTGCATGTAAAATACGGTTTGGAGTAGAGGGGGTGCAGCCTAGACATTTGCGTAAAAGATTATTTTGAAACGTTTCTATCCTTTTGTCAATATATTTGGCCGAGTGACATGCTGTAGTTCTCGCATATTCTAATTTGGATCTTACTAGCGACTAGTATAAATTTACTGCCGGGTCCGGAGCTAGACCACCATTTGAGCTCATCATCATTTTAACTGCGTTCGAATTAGAGGTGGATTATTTGATGACATTGGCATAATGCTCATGTACTGTCAAGCTGTTGTTTATATATCTGCCAAGGAATTTGATGAAGTTAGTTTGTTTTATTTGCTCATTGTTAATTCTTATATTGACCACCTTGTTTGACCCTTTGGCAAACTACATAGTTTGGGTTTTGGATAGATTAAATTTAAGATTGAGTTCTGCACACATTTCATGGAAAATATTTGCTTTGCGGGATAGGCTTTGTACAGTACTATCGAAGATATTGTCAAACGACACAACCAAAAATCATCAGCATATTGAAAAATAGCCGTATTCTGATCTTGCAAAGTATGTAGGGCGCTGTGTATATGTTGAAGATTATAGGGCTGAGGCATGATCCTTGCGGTATGCCTCCGAAAACTGCCACTGACTCAGAACCCAAGACTAACGTTCTACTGTGAAAGAAGTTTAATATCCATGATGCGAAACAGGATGGAATGCCGTATCGCGTAAATGTATGACTTAGCTTTTGCAAATTAACACAATCGTACGCCTTTGATATATCGAGAGACATCATTATTACCTTACGGCCTGCACTTTTCTATTTAGATATCAAATGGGTCAACTCATTGATGTAGAGAGAAATGATGAATTGAATGAAAGATGAATTGATGTAGGGAGAAATGTAGAGTCCAAGATGGTATGGGTGTGTCAGTCTGCTACAAATGTAAGGGCTTCATATAGCTACGAAGTGCAAGGATGAAGAGGTCTGCCTGAAGTGCTTGGGTAATCATAAAACAATGGAGTGCACAAAGGAGCAAATAAACAAGTATCAATTGCATTCGTGCAAACAAAAAATTTAATCTAGGGCTCGTCGTGAACCACTTGACAACTAACCGACAGTGTCCTGTATACATGAAGAAACTAGAGCATAAGAGAAATATAATAATTACAGTCAGTTAATAGGAACCGTGGCATGGAGTTGACGGTTCAGCCAGTACATGAAAAGCATAACAGTTACTTGAAATGCGTTTATCTTAACATAAGTAGTATAATAGCTAATAAAATAGAACTTGAAAGGCTAATTGAAATTGTTTATTCGGATATAGTTCTATGTTCCGAAACTTGTACAACAGAGGAAATATATGACTATGACATACAGTTTCCAACATATCAAGTTGTAAGATGTGACTCGTACAGTAGACATACAGGAGGGGTAATCATAATATTGCGTAACGCACTAGATCTTAAAATAATACTAAACAAATCGATTGATAAAAATGTTTGGTGTGTAGTTATCCAACTGAAAAATCTCGAAACCAAATGGAGAATCGGGGTGGTCTATCACTCACCTAGTTCAAGTGATGCTGATTTTCTAGCATATATGGAGACCGTTTTGTCGGAAATATGCGATAACATGGTAAATACCATTATTATCGGAGATTTTAATATAAACCTGAATATAATGTCGACATATAGTAAGAAACTGAATGAGATATTCGCCCATCAGGCAATAAAACAGTTAATTAACTTTAATACTAGAGTTACTGAATATCCCGAAACACTGATCGACTTATTGTACTCGAACGCTAAGGAAGTTTCATGTGAAAAAGCGGAGGAACATAGAATATCGGATCATGAAACTATAATGTTCAAATAATAATAATAATAATAATAGATTGGCGCTTACACATATGTTAGTGTTTGGCCGAGCTTCTCCTCCGATTTGTGGCGTGCGCCTTGATGTTGTCTCACAAAGAGGAGGGACCTACAGTTTGACGCCGACTCCGAACGGCGATTGTATTTTTATGAGAAGCTGTTTTTCATGGCACAAATACACTCGGAGGTTTGCCATTGCCTGCCGAGGGACGACCGCTGTTAAGAAAAAACCTTTTTTCTATATTTTTGCGATGTTGCTTTGACCAGGGTTTGAACCCAGGTGTTGCGGAGTGGAAGCGCGCACTGTTTACCACTACACCACAGCGGCCGACATAATGTTCAAATGCGATATAAAAAAACAAGGCCCTATCAGTAAACTGTCTGAAATAACTTCGTGGGATGGGTACAGCCCAGACAACTTATAAATCTTTTGCGACAAGGCACCTTAGCTGACCTGAATAGTCTCAGTCCTGACGGTATGCTCGAACATATTAATAACTGTTTGATTTCGAGTATGAAAAAACTAACTTCTCGTGTACAAAAGCGGGTCAAAATCCAAAATAAATGGTATGACAGACAATTGACTGAAACTAATAAAGAAAAATTTAAGTTATACCATATATTATATAGTTATGGGCAGTGATTACTGGTGATTGGGTAGAATACAATGAAATAAAGAAAGCGTATAAAAAAAATGATTACAATTAAAAAAATACAATATATTGAATACAAGGTGGAAATTAATAGAGGTGACAGTCGTTTAATGTGGAAACATTTGAAGAATATTGTCAATAATGCGGATCACAAAGAAAACATCAAAGAGGTTCGAATCAACGGTAAAATATATAGCAATAGTACTGAAGTCGCTGACAAGTTAAACAATTTCTTTGTTGATAGTATCATCGATATTAATAGGAACATAGAAAACATTAATTATGATCCGATTCAACAGGAAAATGGTCGAGAACCTTTAAATTTTGTGAGATTAGTACAGATGATATTATATATATTATATATAGTAAAGAAGTTCAAGATAAAATTTGGTGGAAATAATTTATTATCCGAGGGTGTAATCAAAGACTCCGTTGAATACATGGGTCACTTTTACGCCCTATTAGGAAATAAGAGCCTTCAGTTGGGAATAGTTCCGACAGAATGGAAAACTTCGACCATTGTCCCTATAAAAAAGGTCAAAAACACCATAAAATCGCAGGAGCTGAGGCCAATAAACACCCTTCCTAACTTAGAAAAAATACTGGAAACGGTTGTAAAAAATCAACTATTAAACTATATTGAGTCAAATAAAATACTCATTAAGGAGCAGTCAGGTTTTAGGGCTAATCACTCATGCGAAACAGCTCTAAACTTGATCTTATCACAATGGAAGGAGGACCTGAACTCCAAGAAAACTATCTTGGCGGTGTTTGTGGACCTTAAGAGAGCCTTCGAGACAATCGACAGGGAAATAATGCTAAAAAAACTCGAATATATTGGTATAGATAACATAGAACTTACATGGTTCCGTAGTTTTCTTTCTGATAGGAAGCAACAAACGGTGATTGGCGCAGCTCTATCCACAAAGGTAGCAGTAGATATTGGTCTACCACAAGGGTCGGTGTTAGCTCCAATACTCTTTAATATTTATATCAACGACATTAACTCAGTATTGAAGTATTGTAAGGTAAAATTGTTCGCCACGATACCCTCTTAACCCTCAGTGACTGTAATCTACCCAATGCAATGATTAAAACGCAAAAAGGCCTTCATTGTTTGTATAAATGGTTGTGCGTAAACAGACTGCAATTAAATGTGAACAAGATAAAGTTTATGGTCAGCAAATTTTCTATCGCGCTATGAAATTCGTGTTTAACATAAAACAAGGTAGACTCCCAGATTATCTGAGTGATATCCTACGATATAATAGTGAAACCCATTCGTATTTACTCAGGGGAAATAATAGCTTCAGGCTGCCGCTGTATAAAACGGAAATAGATAAGAAGAATATCGGTTATCAGGGATTAAAATGTTATAATGAACTTCCAGCTCAAATACAAAATTGTGAAAACGTTGGTACCTTCAAAAGGCTGCTACTTGATCACTGTAGAACATTGGCTATCAGATAGAAAGGTCCGGCATGGAAACTAGTCCTTTCCATCCGTACTAGCTGGATGACTCTGGATTTAGTCCATTCAGATCACCCATAATGTATGAAATAAGAAGGTCGGCATGGAAACTAGTCCTTTCCGTCCGATCAAATAGCGCGCCTCTGGATTTCGTCCATTCAGATCGCCTGCCGGTAGAGAAGTTTATTAGAAGCGGCTTGGAAACTAGTCCTTTCCAACCGCTCAGTTGTGGCGGCTCTGGAAATTACACTCTTAGACCGCATATCGTACGTGATATATTTACGGTACTGCTTGGAATCCCGTCCATTCCAACAGCATCGAGAATATGCTATCTTAGTTAAATATACATACTATTATATAGCTTAGAAGGAAAAGTGTAACAGGTTAACTTATTCTAGGCATTAAATTTAACTTTACCTTTATTATATATTGCAATACATAATTCAAATGTATATACGTGAATGTATATAGGTCAAATGACTGTAATAAATAAATAAATAAATGAATAAATAAATAAAAGTGGTTGACCGCGCATTAAATCACCGCCGATGATCGTGGTGGGATTTCTGCTGGCAAAATCAAAAATTTTGTTGCATGCAACTGTAAATTCGGACAGGGGCATGTTAGGGTGAAAATAAATAGAGATTATATTGATATTTGGGTTCAGATTGGTTGTACGAATTGCTATTATTTCATAGTTAGAGTGCAGCGTAATTTTCTTGAACTGAATGCTATTTTTGATGGCAATGCCAACACCTCCAAATCCACCTTGTCGAAATTTGTATACGAAGTTATAAAGTTATATATAAGTTTTAAATGGAAATCGTTTTCATTAAAGGCAAAAATTTCGGACAGTAAAGCAGAGTCAATATTATTGGTATTTAAGAAATATTCGAGATTATACTTGTTGGATCTATAACTTTGAATATTATATTGCAGAAATTTCATTCAGACTACAGCATTTTCTGACCCTACCTTCTTTATAATTGTTTTGACTTAGATTGTATTTAGATTTTAGCTGGGGAAATTTTTCAACACTTTTGGTTCTTTTGCGAATTCACAAAGATGCGCACACATTTTTACTAATTCATTAATAATCTTTTCTAATTCCGAAACCTTGTGGGGATTAATTATGTTGACCGCTTGTGGTCTTGGGACCCTACTAGGCGCTGTTTCTTCAGGTGTTGTTTCATTTTTCTTCCGTGGAGTTGCTCTCACAATTCTATTGAACCTTGTTCTTGTTAAAATCCTATTAACCTCAACCTGATTATCTCTCTCTATGTTATTCCTGTTCTGATTTGCACTTAAACTGGGAAAATCCTTCTCATAGTTGTCTAGTAAGGAGAACCGATTTTCGGAGCCGTATTTTTCTCTATATTTCATGAAAGAGATGTTTCCAATTTTCATAATCTTCTGAATGTCTTGGCGATGAACACGTACCGGACACGAACGCTTTTCCGAAGTGTGATTAGATGCGCCACACAGCAAACAGTTCATAATGCCACAGGCCGGGTCACAATGTGGTATATTGCCACATTGTAGGCACCTCGCCTCTCTAGCCTTACAAAAAGCAGCTATGTGTCCCAGTCTCCCACACTTTTTGCACTGTCTAACAGCTGATGCATTTTAAAAGTTTAATTTCTTTTGGAATTTTGTTCCCCTTGAAGGCAATTTTTAACGAGGTGGTGGGTATTATTTCATCACCCTCTCTACGACCTCTCTGAACTTGGCAGGACAACTTTTTCTCAAAGCAAAAATTCCTATCGCATAATTTGCCGTTAATTATCCGTAAATTATCCGTGAAAAGAATAATTTTGCCGCGGACATATTTAAAAAAAAATATCGAGTGCCCTGCTAAGTTCCGTGGAACCCAAACCCAAACTAACTACCTGATAATTTGCCGTAAATTATCCGTTGTTTATCCTTGAAAAGAATTATTTTGCCGCGGACACATTTAAAAAAATATCGAGTGCCCTGCTAACTTCCACGGAAGGAAATATGTTCGCGGCAAAATTATTCTTTTCACGGATAATTTGCGGATAATTAACGGCAAATTATGCGATAGGAACTTATGCTTTGAGAAAAAGTTGTCCTGCCAAGTTCAGAGAGGTCTCTCTACGACTAAGTCTACTAACTTACACCACCGGTATTTCGCTTTCAATATTTTGCAGTAATACCTGGTCGGAATATTTATGTGGAACTCTTCTAATTATGCCATATTTTTCCGTGAAAGATCTGGGTATGTATGCCTAGAGGTCCGTGGCCTTGAAGTCATTTTTCATTACAAAATTGTTTGCATCGTTTGCAGAGTCAAAAGTGAGTTTGACTCTCCCATTTCCCAGGGCTCTTAAATCAGCTAAACCAAATAATTTTAAGTCGTCCATGAGTTCCATGAAGAAGAGATTTGAGAAAACTCTTTTCCTCAACACATTTTTGTCGGGCAAAACCTCTACAAATACTATAAATTTTACCTTGTCATTCGGGTCATAAATATGTTGCGGCTTATCTACACGAGTCGTTAATTCGGGTCTCATTCGACTAGAAGAAGCTACAGGCTGCTCGGCTTGTGGGTCCGGAAGGGAGCCACGCGCCTCCCTTCACCTCCATCGAAGCTCTTGCCACGCGCACTTTCTTACGACATACACTCTTTGCACTTGCTAGATTTGTCTTTCTTTTTAATTTTTTTAGTCTTTTTAACGCGCCTAACCTTCCCTCCATATGGAGGTAGGCAAAAGACACACACTCAAAGAAAGGAAAACTGACTTTGAATTTAAGTTAATTTTTTTCCTTTTTTTTCCAAAATATGTATCTGGTATATTTCAGAGAATTAACTTATCTCGATTTTGATGTTTTGTGTTATTTTTTCCGTTGAAAGGCAGTTTTTAGTCCACAGGGGAAAATTTTAGTAGACGGACGGCAAATTCAAGAAAAAGGGGTGATGAGGGGGGTAGAATAGGACCCCTGATTTCAAAAATTCCCCCCTTTTTTCTGGCAACCCTATAGTTCTTATATAATTTGTTGTTAATGTTTTCGTATAAACGATGAATAAGATAGCAAAATAACATCAAACTTTGTGCTGCCAGACTGGAATTTTGGATAATAAAAGCGGATTTTTACTTCGGAATTTTCACTTAGTAGAATTCTCCTTTCTGCGTAGGCGGCCTTTGGCCGCGCTTTAGGATTATAACCCCTACCAGCCTGATGTAGTCTTGGGAAAGGATAAGGTAACTAGAATTCCATTTCTGTGGTAAACCTGGGGCTGCCGCCCCAGTGATGTCTACTATGGTTATGATCAGGACTAAGACCCCTATCGATCCCAATATAAATTTTT